AACCCCCCCCCCCTCATCTGCCGTTTAAATGCATACACCAATGAAAAATGGTGTTGAAACAAATCGGTATGTATTGTTTTAAACATGACTAATCGCTGCTAGGAGATCATGAAGGATAACAGTTGTACCTACATATTGAAAAAAGTAACCAATTTTTAAATGCAAAAAGTTCAGAAAAATTACAATTTAACAAAAAAATATTAAAGGTCTAAAAAAACTAAATTTGGACTAGTAAGTCTTTAAATTAACGAAATTTGGAAGAAAACGAAATCTGAGCGTTTGGCTTACGTAAGGCAGATCTGGACCCTCTCCCCCCGGTAAGTGCCTTACATGATTTGTGGACGGCCCCTTTGTAAAGGTTTATACTCATACGTTTACTGCCCACTAATGTCACATTTATGTCTGTCTTTGGAGTCCGCTTTTTCCTCTAAAAGAGAAAGAAGATAATTGGACGGTCCATGTAAAATTAGGGTCCCTGTATACCCTTAAACACTTATGTATTATATAGGGGCCCTACACCCTAGGTTCAGAGGCTTTTCTTCAAGAGGAGCCCTCTTCAATTACGTGCGTCAAAAAGCACGCCTCGCTCTTATTTCATGGAAGAAAGTATTCCTTTATAGCCACTCGCGGTACTTATGACTCTGTGTGTAGTATGTTGACAGCAACAATTTTATATGCACTGAGTCGCAATCCGGGGGCCGCTCACCCTAAAGGCGAACACGCTGTCTCCAGGCCACTGCGGATCATGACATAAATGACGGAATTGCTAATTGATTAGGCAATTAAAGTTCTTTCTTTCTCCACCAGAGCTAAGAGCAGATGCGCATCGGTGACACGCTCCTGCTTACTGATGATCTGCGGCAGGGTTTTCTGTATGTCCTAGAGCCTTCTGAGCCAAGACTGAATCTCTGCTAAACTCAAACGCCCAATAATTAGCCATTTTCATGAGTTTTTACTTCTTTGTTGCTATTTGAAGGTAAGTTTCTTTTTTAAATCAATTGTTTGGTGCCTTAAAATCATGTTAATAGCTCTAATGGTACACATTGTTACTTATTAATTCAGAACACACTCCGGCAATCCAACGCTCAAACCTGGATGTAGCGAGTCAGTTGTTATTTCTTAATATTTACCCTTCAATGTTTCACTGAAGACACCAAAATGATAGTATCAATCATTGATGATAAAAAGAACTTACCTTTGACAATACTGATGAGATGAGAAGACCGGTATGTTTTGGATGAAGGCAAGGAAAGTAGACGCAGGATCCTTCTTCGGTTCCCAAACTTATCAATACATCTCTCTGCATAGTGTCACATTAAAAACACACAGGATCTTAAAGTAGTAACATAAGTGTATTAAACGTGAGAATGTTCTGAATGATATTTAGATGTTTGTTGAAGAGTTAAGAATGATTTACACGCATTGAGAGAACATCCATGGATTGAGCGTTGGACTGCGGGAGTGTATTCTGAATTAATAAGCAACAATGTGTACCATTATAGCTTTTAATATGATCCTAAGGCACTAAAGAATTGATCTACAAACGTAATTTACCTTGCAATAGTGGCAAATAAGTAAAAACTCATGAAAATGGCTGAATATTGAGCTAACGTCCATGTCCGTTGTCACTGTGGTAGATGGAAACAATTGCCCATTGGCTACAGTTTTACTTAAAAATAGGGTTTATCCCGTCGGTTCTTATTTATCTAATGAAGGTCCCAACCATTTATACGTCCTAGGAATCCATTTCTGAATTCCATTTTGTTCAAAAAATCGATTGACTCGATATTTGCATTTGAAAAAATGGCTGCCAATTCCTTATGGGAAAATGCATTGTAAGTGATGAAAAGACAAGGTTTGTCTCGCGATGTGTTGTAACGAGTGTGCCAGATCCAGCCCTACATTAAGGTGACCGTTTCGAATGAGTCGGTTCCATAAACAGTTTTTTCTGAGTTTGAGAGGTCATTTCAAGCTTTTTTATCAGGATCATCGTTCTTTTCGTGAAATTTGCCATTGGAATCAGTTATCAATTCTCAAGTCCCTGCACCTTGCAACAGGCTCATTCTCCAGATCTCAAAACATTTGGTGGAATATTGGAGATTTTCATATTTCAATCTTACTACCAAGGAGCATTCATTTGTATTTCTGATATGATGCTGCAAGCCCACAGATATCATCAGTTCACATTTGAACTTTTCTGTCGATGGAACATCACTTGTGGCTTCTAAGGAATCTTAACTTTTGCATTTTTCTCTGCAGGAATGCGGACTCAGTGTATTTCTTACGATGGTTTTACAATCCTGATGATGATGACTATGATGAATTAGATGATACTGAAGATGACTATGATGATACAGAAGGAGACGATGATGACAGTTATGATGACATGGTCAATATCCATTTTGATGGGATCCCAATGCGTAGATCCATTCCTCATCCTCGTACCGATTTGAAACCGAATACCACCAAATTGAAGGTGTGCACAGTTAATTTGATCATTACCTAAATGTTTTAATAGGAAATAACTCGAAGCGATTCCTTAATTGATATTTAGGTACGGGTCAAAGTAATGACCATACTTTACTAAGAATATAGCAACGGTGCTAGAGCGGACGCATCGTATGTTGAGACAAATGTCAATCTCTGATTACCACCAAATGAGCACCACTCAACAGGATAATACATGCAGTCAGATGGTATTACTGATGAGTGGTGTTCTAAACAATACTTGACTTTTGTCTCAACATACGGTGCGTCCGCTCTGAGGTGAATTGAATAGGCAAATTTGTATGTGTTCTACAAGTAATTACCTTATCATTTAAAAATATGCTTAAATAATATCATTATTGATTAGGATTATGGTTGATTACCTATGGTGCAAGTGGTGGCTTTTTTGTTTCTTAATCAGCTACTTCGTGCTTCTAGTGTGATAGATTTGCTTATCACTGACGATAGATACCTTGCCTGAAAAGGCCATCTAAGGAACGAAATATCTACTCAGGCACATTTTCATGAAATAAATTTTAGAGATAATTATGGCTCGAAATGTATTTTTATTTAGTGGCGTCATCTCCCTGGAGATTCTCCTATATAGTGAATTGAATCCAAAGAATGATAATGGTCTAACCTCTTTCAGTGCTGTCTTGGAGTCTGAATCTTTGAGTCTTGGATGTATCTTGCTTTTTTTGTAACGGAAGGCTAATAGTGGCTACAGATAAGAAATTTTTAAAGTTGTTGTTGGTGTTGTAGCTACAGAGATCTAGGAGTTAATTTCAGGCCTTAAAATTTTCAGAAAAGGCTTAAGTATCCTATACCACAGTTAAAACCATGAAGACAGACGACTGCAGATCAGAGTCTAGTAATGGGTGCGGCAATTTGTTAAAAAGTTTATTCATCTCTGTTTAGTTCTGACTATTTCATTATGCAACTTTATTTGGATTAAAGTCTCTAAACAATTGACTGAGTCAGTCATTTGACTCCATCCCCCAACTGCTGGTTTTTGTGGCATGGAATATAAGAAAGGCATATCTTACTGAAAGATCGTAGCACATTCAATAGAAAGTGAGAAATTACTTTTTTAAATTATGGTATACTACTACAGATAATTGATCGAAGTATAATCTGCTATTTTTCTCCTTTTTATAGTCAACCTTTGCTGTCAATCTCTCCTATCTTCAAAGTTGTGTCGAAATGTCCGGTAGAGTCCTTAATTTTGTTTGCTTTTTTTCCCCCAGAATAGTGACTTCTATTTGTTGATGCAACAAAATGCCGGACTCCGGCACAACAAAGCCAAAGAGAGGCCTAACAGTGTTCTACAGATGATCCAAGCCAGACAGGTCAGTCTTGTTCTATCAACCAAAACATTATTGTAATCTATCTCAAATGAATTCACCCTTGTCATCTGCTCGCACTCTAAGCAATGAAGGTATCCTTGGAGTAGATGAACGCAAATGCGGTCCCTTTTATGTCACCATTTATTTAAAATCCCTTCATTCATTGAGGTGAAGACTCATAGGTTTATGCATCATTGATGTCACCAATGTATAAACTTGGACTGTGAATCTATGACAAACTATGAAAACATGGATAAATGTTATCATCAGTGTCAGCGTCAAACTAAATGAATCCATCAATATATATATATATATATATATATATATATATATACAATATAAAAATAAAACAGTGAACTAAGTAAATGAAATTACACAACCTTTTCTTTTATTTTAAATTTCTTAAAAAAATACAAAATTCTTGTGCAAATCCTCCATTGATAGATTTGATAGCAGGTTTTATTCACTAAACTTGTAGCCAATTTCAGTTAAATTTTTGGTGGTACTTTTGAGGTTCAATATCCTATGTAAATAGTCGCGTACTTTCTTGATGCAGACTGGAATGTTTGGAGCGGACCGTTTTACAGCTGGTGATCAGGCTAAAATATCATCATCATACTTCCCAACCCAGTTGAACCACATCATCAAACATAATCAGAAACTTTTTTGTGGCGTCTACTCCAACGATGGCTCAAGATTCATCTCTGCTTGTCAAGGTATTCTCATTTTTAATCTTTACCTTGGATATCGAACCTTCTAGCTTCGTTTTGTTTTTTTAAATTTATTTGAATAATATTTTACCACTGTAATCTTTTTAGGATAGATTTTGAAGACATCAAATAGCTTTATAATTCTGAGATTCTTACGTGCCATTTGAAAACAGCCAAAGTCCAGTGTCCTTTGTTTTCAATTACTTCATTCTACATAGGCTGTCCCAAAACAACTGAGAGTAAGTCTGTATTTCAGAAACAATAATGGATATCGAAACGCGGTTTGTGGAAAATTGTAGCTCATATCTTTAGCTATCCAACGAGACCAAGATTAGCTCATTTGGTCAAAATTTTGCTTAGTTACAGCAATTTTCCGGAGCCGTGTAAAAAATAACCCTACAGGATTTTTGAGTATTTTTTTCCTTGTCTGAACTGTTGTTCCGAGAGTCGTGCAGTTGATCGCAACTTTGTGGATCACGTTGGCACTGGTCTAGATCCAAATTCTAACATGTTTGCATGTGCTTTCATTGCATATCAGAGTTTTCTTAAACTTCCCTGAGCTCAGTGAAGCCAGCATTGTCTAGCGTTAATGACACGTGTTCTCGTTTGGTACAATGAGTTCGCCCGCGGAGCTGAAACAAGAGCAACGCTATGCCATCTGTTACTGTGTTCGCCGAGGTTTAACTGCCTCTGATACCGTGAAAGAGATGTTAGTTGCTTATGGAGAAAATTGACTTGGGGAGAGCACCATTTATCGGTGGCATGCAGCTTTTTCCGAGGGTCGCGAGTCGGCGGCTTTGATTCCGCATGGCGGCCGAGGAAAGTGTCATTAACGCTAGACAATGTTGGCTTCACTGAGCTCAGGGAAGTTGAAGAAAACTCTGATATGCAATGAAAGCACATGCAAACATGTTAGAACTTGCATCTAGACCAGTGCCAACGTGATCCGCAAAGTTGCGATCAACTGCATGACTCTCGGAACAACAGTTCAGACAAGGAAAAAAATACTCAAAAATCCTGTAGGGTTTTCTTTTAAACGGCTTCGGAAAATTGCTGTAACTCAGCGAAATTTTGACCAAATGAGCTAATCTTGGGCTCGTTGGATAGCTAAGGATACGAGCTACAACCTCCCACAAACCGCGTTTCAATATCTACGAGGGTCATCCAAAAAGTAAGGTTCCCTACCTTGTATCTTCCGAACGAAAAGAGATCAATCAAATCTGTAAAAACGTACATATTAGGCATACTCTAAGCTTTAAAACAAGCTCAAGTTTTTGAAAATCGGTTGAAGACTTCGCGAGAAAACTCAATTTTACTGAGACAACCTCCCGTCGTCGCGTGCCCACCTCCGAGGTCAGGATGCGCGGAGAGTCCCTTACTTCAGACTCGGCTTATCGCCTCTAAACATCAAATCGAAAAGGAATTTAAAAGATTTTATCAAGTAGGCCTTACCTTACTTTTTGAGATAGTCTCCGCATATTTTTTGACATTTCTGGTTTCATTACAGCAGCTCTTTCATGCCTTCCGCGTAAAAGGTCTCGTCTTGGCTCCAAAACCAGTCATTGCCAGCGATCTGCACCTCTAAATTGGTTGGAAATCGCTTTCCTTAGTGGGAGTTTTTCATCTCAGGAATAGACGAAAGTCACCTGAGGCTAAATTAAGAGAGTACGGAGGATCGGGGAAAAATTTTACCACGGTAAGCAACTGATTTGGAAGTGCAGATCGCTGGCAATGACTGGTTTTGGAGCCAAGACGAGACCTTTTACGCGGAAGGCATGAAAGAGCTGCTGTAATGAAACCAGAAATGTCAAAAAATATGCGGAGACTATCTCAAAAAGTAAGGTAAGGCCTACTTGATAAAATCTTTTAAATTCCTTTTCGATTTGATGTTTAGAGGCGATAAGCCGAGTCTGAAGTAAGGGACTCTCCGCGCATCCTGACCTCGGAGGTGGGCACGCGACGACGGGAGGTTGTCTCAGTAAAATTGAGTTTTCTCGCGAAGTCTTCAACCGATTTTCAAAAACTTGAGCTTGTTTTAAAGCTTAGAGTATGCCTAATATGTACGTTTTTACAGATTTGATTGATCTCTTTTCGTTCGGAAGATACAAGGTAGGGAACCTTACTTTTTGGATGACCCTCGTATTATTGTTTCTGAAATACAGACTTACTCTCAGTTGTTTTGGGACAGCCTATGTAGTAAGAAGGCGACTGGAGCTGTTTGGGGCTCCTTCTCTTTAGTCCACTACTGTAGTAATTAACTGTTAAAGATTTTTTAATCTTGTGTTTAGAAGGCTTCCACAGTTTTTTGCAGTTTTCTCAAGACTAGAGGAAATAGACGAATGCAGTTTTTGCAAGATGCAGATCAAATGATCTTGCCACTAGATCAGTCTTTCACTACTGACTGCTTAATTTCTCCTCATCAACTGATAATCTTGTCTTTTTCTCAGATTGCAACATTACACTGTATAATTCGGAAAGAGACGAGTTCAAACCAATAAGTACCATCACTGGTCGGGACGTAAGCTGGAGCATTCTCGATGCAGTATTCAGTCCAGATAATAATTTTATTGCTTACTCGAGTTGGTGTGATAGTGGTAAGTTTCTGTCAGTCTTGTTTTTTTCACCATCAAAAGAATCTGCCGTCGGAGGAAAGCAATGTAAACCACTAGCAAATGCGGAAGTAAAGTTTAGAAGTTTCTTAAAATGAATTGCACGTTTTGTATCAATAATTCAGTTATTTGGGGGAATAGATGAGCAACAGATCATGCTTTCCTCAAATTTTTGCGTAAAAATTATTAGATTGTCTACTTTTGAGCTAAAACCAATGAAGATAAAATCAAAACACTGGATTTTTAAAGCCTAAAGATACATAATAGTTTGATTCTTGCAAGCTTTCTGATTTCTAATCATTTCAGAACTGAGTTTCGTTCATGCAATCCTCTCATAGACAAAAAGTACTGATATATTGTCAGGTTTGAAATCACTTCATTTTGGATATTGAGACCACGATTTTACATAGGCTGAATCTTTCTTGATCAAGTTTCATATTTGTTTACAATCCTTCTTGTACTCTTGGCAATGACAAAATGGAAAAACTTACTCTAAATTACTTGAAGTTGTGAAGCGACACTTGATCTTTCAGTTTATTTGAGGACCTTAATTTTCGAGTTTAAAACCCCATTTCACCCTCCTCCGCGATTTCAGGACAGTGAACTTCAGGTTAGCCCTTGAAATCTTAACTCTGCATTATTGGATTTACATTTCTTCTTTCATGCACAAGACTTAGTTGTATCCAAACTTCAGCAACGTCAAATTTTGCCCAAAAGGGTTGATACGCTACAAATACTTTAATAAATCGCTTGCTTTCATCGAATAAATAATTTTGTAGTAGTGTTGACTTTTTCATTTTCTCAATTTTTATGTGAATCCAATTTTTTTTGGAAGAAGAACTTGTTTGATGGGTTATTTTATTGTTACGACATGCCTGCTTCATAGATTTATTTCTCTTTCTTAGTGCATCTAGTTCCTTTAAATAAAGATCCAGAAGACCAAATCTCCCTATCAAGTTGCTCTGGAGAAAGGCGATTTTGTATTTTTTCCTTGGCTTACGCTGCAGATGGCCAGAACATAATTGGTGGTGCAAATGATGGCAACATTTACATTTGCCATTTGGAGCGAGACAAACATACTAGAGTGAGTTCAAAAATCAAATCTTTTTGATCCTTCATTCATTGGCTTTTAAATTTTGAAGTGGTTATTCGTCAAAGGTGAATTTAAATTTTGAAGTGGTCATCAACTCCCAAGCCCAAAATAAGCTCTCAAGTTAAGGCCAAAATGGAGGGGATATCCCACGCAATCCTGAGAGTCCTCGTCTACATGCAGAGATAGGGAGCAAGTACATTGACAGGGCTGCCACCTTATTTGAGGACTCTAAAACTGAAATCACGGCAACCCTGTCAATGTATTTGCTCCCTATCTTTGCATGGAGAGTTTGTCTTGATGTAGAGGTGGACTCTCAGGATAGCGTGGGATATCCCCTCCAATTTGGCCTCAACTTGAAAGCTTTTTTTGAGCTTGGGAGTTGATTTCAGAGAAAACCAGTGGCACCATTGTGTCTCTCGCGAACTTTTACATAAGAATCAATCGTCAAATTGCAAATCCCTCACATATGCAACATCTCCATTGGTCTCAATTATCATTCATTTCATTTTGAAGGTTTTTTTTTTGAGAAGTTCCTTTCAAATCAATTTACTTTTTACTTCTGTAAAGTCAACTCAAGAGAAAGCACAGTTGCCTCGATATTTTTCTAAATATTTTCTCAGCATATGGATATCGTCCACATGTTTTCATCGTATTTCAAACCATCTTGTGCCTGTTAATAGTTTTTAAAAATATAAATTAATAATTGTTGCTCAAACTGCTTGCTGTATCATCAGTTTTGCCATTGTTTTTAGATCAAAGCTCACAGTCGGGATGTCAATGCAGTAAGCTATGCAGATGATAGTTCTCACATATTATATAGTGCTGGCGATGATGGTCTCTGCAAGGTAAGAAAAATCATTGGCTTATTTTTGTTAAGATGTCCGACAAATCTGCTGTTGTGGAGGGCATATTGGCAACTAAAAATATTCTTTTACTAATTAATTCCACTGCAATGCAGAAGGCTCTTTTTGGTTGATTTTACTTCTTGCAACTGAAATAGCTGTGTTTTGGCAGTCATTTTGCACCTGTCGAATTTTGTGAGCAAAAGCTATTTTGTTAGGCCGCTGGGTGCATTTATTTATTTTTTTTTTTTTTCTAACTACTTCAAATAGCCCTCAAGGGCTAATCCCACGCTTTAAGTCCCATCCCCCCTCCGTCCCTACTGAACCAGTCCCAGGCAACCATTGTTTGAGACCATCAAACTCGGGTCGCCTGGCCGGGAATCGAATCCAGGACCTCCCGATTATAGAGCAAGCGCTACAACCACTACACCATAGGAGGCCGACAAGCGCTACAACCACTACACCATAGTAGGTCGATTACTGTGAGCTGATTCTGTAAGTTATAATTTTTTCATTATTAAAATGTTTAAAGTGCACTCAGTTCATAGGAATTTTCCTGGATTTTTTGCAAAAAGATTTCCCCGTGAAAAACGAGTTTAAAGTTGCATAATTGCTGTCATCATTTGAATGTGCATCATTAGGGAAGCTTAGATGGCGCCTGATAAACATTCCTCTGGCTGTAGGTGCATTTTCGATTGCACCGTGAGGTATAAAAGAACAAATTTAAAGAAAATTCCCGTGAACAAAGTACATTTGCTGATTTTCAAGAATGCAAGAATTAAAAATTACCGGTTAAGCTAATGGATACGCTTTTCAACAGTTTACTCTACATGCGTAATACTAAGCATGCATGCGCAGTATATGAAGTACTGATAAGAACAGTTTCTTTCTCACTTTTTCTATCATTTATTTTTGAAGAATAATAACTGGCATTTTTCATCAAAAGGCCTGCTAAAAAATATTATTTTCAAGAAGTTTGAAGATGCATATTTATGGAGATGAAAGGAATGCAACATGATGGTCCTAAAATATAAAATAAACATTTTTTTGCTTAAGTATATTTTGCTAATGCAGAATCAACTTTCTTTTATCAAACATTTTATAGGTTTGGGACACCCGCACTTTAAATGAAAACTCACCAAAACCTGTCGGAATCCTTGCTGGCCATCTGGATGGAATCACTTACATTGATTCTAGACAAGACAGGAGACATCTCATCACCAATAGCAAAGATCAGTCCATCAAATTATGGGATATTCGTATTTTTTCCTCTGCAGATGCTCTCAACAAAACTGAAAAAGCCATTTCATCCCATGCATGGGATTATCGGTTCCAGAAAGCCCCCAAAAAGTGTAAGTATGCTAAGTATAACTTCGAGGGTATGAGGAAATGCAAAAACTCCAAGGAAAATTTTTCAAATGAGTAGGTGGTCATGGTTTGTTATACAACAATTGGTTTCATTTACCTTTAAAACTGCTTGTAGGAAGCAATTCACATTAGAGGGAAATTCAAATATTAATTGAGGGCACTGCTGACTAAGGACTTCAAAGCCTATAGGTCCATTTATCGCTCTCATCGGCTTTTTGGATTCCTTGTACCGTGGACTATACTTCAGTATCAATACAGCATTGATAGGTAACGGTTGGAGGTCTCCAAACCTCTTTTTAGTCGTGCGGCTAAGCCGTATAGACTCTAGGTTTTGCCAGAGGCTAAAAAATGTTCACACTTTTAGGCTAAGTCCAAGAGGAGAATTTTCGAGGAACCAAGAAACATATGAAGTATTGATATCGGTGCATTTTGGCCCAATGGAGATGTTACATGTGCGAGGAATTTGCAATTTGACTGTTGATTCTTGTATAAAAGTTCACGAGGAACACGATGATGCCACTGGTTTTCTCTGAAATCATCTCCCAAGCTCAAAAAAAGCTCTCAAGTTGAGGCCAAAATGGAGGGGATATCCCACCCTACCCTGAGAGTCCACGTCTACATGAAGACAAACTCTCCATGCAAAGATAGGGAGCAAATACATTAGCAGGGTTGCCGTGTTTTCAGTTTTGGAGTCCCCAGATAAATTAGTAGCCCTGTCAATGTATTAGCTCCCTATCTTTGCATGAAGAGTTGGTCTTGATCTAGACTTGGACTCTCAGGGTAGGGTGGGATATTCCCTCCATTTTGGCCTCAACTTGAGTGCTTTTTTTTGAGCTTGGGAGATGATTTCAGAGAAAACCAGTGGCACCATCGTGTTTCTAGTGACCTTTTACACAAGATTCAACAGTCAAATCGCAAATTCCTCACACATGCAACATCTTTATTATGCCAAATGGAATTTCTGATCATTTAGCCATGGTTTGGTAGCGTTTAGCAATCAACTGTGACCATAATGTAAAGAACCCACACAGGTGCCTTTCGGCGGAATGTCGCCCTATGGCATTCTTTATCATCAAGTCACTGTTGAACATTTACTGTTAAGTAGCGTTTAGCGACCAAGTATAGCCAAAATTTCCAGAACTCATACCTCAGATGTTCAAAGAGTGTTAACATGTGTCGCCAAATGGAATTTCTGATCATTTAGCCATGGTTTGGTAGCGTTTAGCAATCAACTGTGACCATAATGTAAAGAACCCACACTGGTGCCTTTCGGCTGAATGTCGCCCTATGGCATTCTTTATCATCAAGTCACTGTTGAACATTTACTGTTAAGTAGCGTTTAGCGACCAAGTATAGCCAAAATTTCCAGAACTCATACCTCAGATGTTCAAAGAGTGCTAACATGTGTTGCCAAATGGAATTTCTGATCATTTAGCCATGGTTTGGTAGCGTTTAGCAATCAACTGTGACCATAATGTAAAGAACCCACACAGGTGCCTTTTGGTTCAATGTCGCCTAATGGCATTCTTTATCATCGAGTCACAGTTTAATAGCGTAAATAAGCAACCAACGGTGGGCAAAATGTCAAGACTCCAAACTGGTGCTTTTTGGCTGAATTTCGCCCAATAGGATCTTTGATGATTTATCAGTAATGGTTGATGTGTATGTTGATTAATTTTTACTGTCTAAAAGTGAATCCTGTGGGAGAATATTATAAGGTTGGTTCAAACAAGTTTTAGAATTTTTTTCCTTAGCGCTAATGGACCCTAAGGGACAACTTCAATTCATCGAACTAAAAGTTTTCATGTTCATAACCATTTTTTAACTGTCAGAACTCACTAGACCACATTATATTCATGATGAATTTAAAGAATTTCGCTGTCAAAAGTTGAGTTCTCCTTCAATTTAGCACTTTTTGTCATTACCTTAAAGACCATACGGAAAGTGCTAAATCTACGGAAAACTCAACTTTTCACAGCGATATTCTTCAAATTTATAATGATTATAATGTGGTCTAGGGAGTTCTGACATTTAAAAATGGGTATGAACATTTAAGGGTTTATTTTCCTTGAATTTAAGTGGTTTTTCAGGGTCTACGGTAAGAAAAAAAGTCTAAAACGCGTTAAAAGTTACTTGAACCTACCCTATAATGTTGAGCTATGACTTCAACTTTCATGATCCCTTACTTGTGCCTTTCAGCTTGATTTCGCTGAATGGAATTATTTATGATTGAAGTCGTGGTTGAGTTTACTATGCTGATAAAATATCATTGGAAACTTTAGGTTTCACCATCATAGTCTTCTAAAAATAACCATCAGCATTACTGCACCAACCAAAATCTAGCCCAAAAAAA